CAAGGACATTTTCCTTTTCTAATGTATTTTAAGGAAATTCAACCACCCGTCCAAGATTATCTGTCCGTACATTCATCCATCCTTCCGTCCGTCCGTCCGTCCGTCCGTCCGTCCGTCCGTCCGTCCACCCACCCACCCACCCATCGTCTTTAAAACATTTCCAAAAATATTTGAGATAAAATGGTTTGCTATCATTCCCAAGAGATTTAATACTGAACAAGATAAGTTATATTTACGTAAATGAAACAAACAAATTTAATGATTAAAAAAACCCATTTAAATTTAACCAAAATGGCGGCTATAAAAATTGAACCGCACTTTGTTTTGTTGCCATAGTGATTCCAGCCGCGGACATATCATCAACACAGGCAACCCACCTGCAGACTAAACGCTGGATGCAGAAAAATACTAATAAGTGAAGGCAAATACATAGCTTATTTTGCACGACTTCTGCATGCAATAAAGTAGTGGTTGCTTATAAAGGCATCTCAATTGTGTATTTATGTGAAGTTGATTAATATGGATTTTATATATATTATCTATATTGGAATCTTGGAAAGCTTCAAAAAACTAACCTCCAATGCAAGAACAAAGTTATTCACTCAACGAGATTTGGATGTTATTAGAAATAAAAAAGCACAGGGTATTGCAATTCGATGGTTTACTAGGGAAAAAAATTGGCAATTCACATCTAGAGAAAAATTAACAATGGAAACAATGTCCTTTATTGCGCGGCTGCCTAAATAGACGATTTTCGTAAATACCGCTATGTTCCTTGATTACAGTTTCATTGGCTCAGAGTTTTTTTTCAACATCAAAATATTCATAAACACCAACGGCTAAATTAAGAATACAAACACTTTTAAAATCCCACGGACCTTGACTAGAACACATGAATTTTACGTCGTTCCAGATTAGTACGATAGTCTTGAGTAAAACTGAAAAATTCCTCCCCAGTCCTCCTTCTCAGAACTTTTACCCTCATGATCAGTCCCCCAGCGCTTCCGGCCTGCTTTATCTTCCGGCGCCAGCCCGCTGACCAAAAAGCCGGTGGACTCTGTGTTCGAGATTGTGTCGTGAGTGGAAAAAAATATACGAAAAACAATGAAAATTTATGCGAAAATAAATTAACAAATCAGTATTCATTTAAATTGCCTCTTCAAATGTCAACTATTTTTTGATAAAAAAATAATTTGTTGCTTTTATTAAGTTTCATTAACTCAACCGGCACTCATTTAGTAAATAACCCTTGGCAAATTTGAAAAATAAGGTGTTTATATAGTACTGAACTTCAAAATCTTCATTAATTTCTGAGAGAAAATCAGTTTTCAAAACCTGCTTTGGATTAATAAAGTTCTTGTAGCTCGAAAATCCGTGTTGAAAACTAATAAAACAGAATCAAATCAAAAACCAACAACACACGACAAAACAAAGCTACCAAACAAAAACAGTCTGATTCTTGATCAGCTGATTTTAAAAGTGCTCAAAAATACCCACAAATTTAATCAAAAACTAGACAAAACACATTTTTCAAAGATAACACCAATTACCTTAAAAGATCTTTATACTATTAAGCTAATATCTCAAAGAGAAAAGAGACGGCTTTTGAGCTGGGCCTCTTTCGATGATATGGCAGTTTGCGCATGCGCAGCTTGTTTTCTTATTTTGGGAAATATGGTGGACTTAATATTATAACGTTTATGATTCATCTTCCAAAAAATGAACACACTTATTTTGTTAAATTATTTATGTTACCTAATGATCAAAAAAGTTGTTTTTAACGATATCTGGTTATTTTTAATCTCATTTCAAGGTATGACTGTTCATAATAGAGTGTTTTTGCCTCTTGGAGTCGGCCATCAAGGCTGTTATTGCTTTTTAATTAATTTCTTCTATTCATTTGTCTTTATTGTGAATGGTTTACTAGTTAACTTAGACACAGGAAAAAGGTTCCTGCTGTGTTTAGTGTCGGTGGGAATTGGAAATCGTCAGGGGAGGCGACATTAAGAGCAGGAGAAGTTTGAATCCTTGAAAATACGTTTGAGCTAAACAAAAAAACTCCGAGACGAGTTGAGAACCCATTCAATCTGTTTGTTCTTTTTTTCTTACAGCTTTGGATTTGAAAAGGTTTTTGTTGACTTTGAAAACTCTGAAGTTTTGGTAAATAACACAGCTATTTTAGAAACTTGAAAATAGTAGGTTTTGTGTGGAAATAATCGGTTTAAATGAGAAAAAATATATTGAAAAATTGAAATTCGATACCTTTAGCAAGAAAACAAACGATAGTTAAATATTTTGTTTTTGACTGAGTTTCTAACAAATTGTCGTGTTGGTTTTATTATATAAATGACCTTTGATCTACAAACTTCAATTTTTCATGATCAACTCGTCGTTATTCTTAGCAACACATGTTCTTTAAGGATCTCTAAGTCAATGTGCTATCGAAATCATTATCGTGAACTTCACATATGGGAAAAATACCTGGCTGTTGAAACACGATTCACATCGGCTTTAAAATATGCAAATGAGCCCACGTCTTTTGAGGATATTATATTGAACAAGAGCGATTCTTTAATTAATCACAAACATTATCAATAATGTCGATAATAGTGTGATTACAAAATCACCTTAGATTTTTTTCCGTTACAACTTGATATATGCCGAGGTACTCGTTAAGTCGAGTATACTTTCAGTAAATCGCAGACGTGCATATTTGATTGTGAAAGTCCCTAAAAGGAGGAATTGCCAAGCTGAAATCAGATCGTTCCCGAGCAGCACGCCTTTTGTCCCTGCTTTTAGTCCTGTTATTGTTATTGACGTGTTTAATAATGACGTCTGTGGGAGTTCAGAACTCTGTCGGTTATAGGGATGTGAATTTGTTGGGCTATTTGATCGGATCACGTAGGGTAATGCTGCAGACGTCTCGTATGTAAACCCATTTCCCTGATTCAATATTCCCCTTGTACTTCAATAAAAGGAGGAGGTTCGTATTTCACCACTGTATTTCATCACGTCGCTCACAGGTCAAGAAAGTGTGTGGCCTCTTAAAATAAATCTGGCTAACAAAAGGAGGAATCTTTGGACGACACATCATTAAAACGTTGATAACTCCTTTCAATTGTTCTCCCAAAGTCCTATACTGTATTYTCCCTAATGTGCTCTGGATTTGCAGGATTTGGCGCTTTGGAGCTCGATGGGCTCACCCCTATTATTCCTCGACGCATTCAGAACGTGTCGAGTTTATTCAAACAAAACTCGTGAGAAGATAAAAGAAAAAACCACACCTCAGCTCTTTGGAGAAAAAGGGGAATTTTCACAAAAGAATAGAGGTAAGTGACTCAAAAGAATGACCATTCAGAATCCTTGCTCATTAGATATGCACGAGCTTGCTCGCTATGAAAGACAAAACTCCTTGATGACAGTCTTTTTGAAAGGAAAATAATCCGGAAAGACTCAGAATTCATTTGTCTTACAGCTGAGCTTGGTCCTTTTTGAACGAGCAGCATTTCCCAGATTGTGACAAACTTCCAAGAAAGACTCGCCGTGCAAGCGACCTCTTCAGCTGCAAAGGTGTTGCATTCAAACATACAGTTTCGCCCTTATCTTCGGTGTCCATGTGGTCCATTGTTCTACATGATTTTCACATAATCGACCAGATGGCAACTATCTTAAAATTAACTTGTTCCAAACCACAACAATATATGTAATTAAGCTGGTGCCATAGCCTATTTCTTATGACAGGATCAGTGAAGGTAGATAGGTAACAAGACAAGTTCATGTGCTATTCGATATAGCCTCAATAGGCAACTTCCATTTAGCTCTTTGTTCCATCTAAACCATTTATTTTTAGTGCCACGCACAATAACATACGATAGCTGTAGCAGTATTGATACGGTAAACTCCCTCTCTGTTCACTCTTAGTTCCTTGTCGACGTGCACCAAGACACGATGACATTATGACAACATTTGCCTACCAATCTCAGATTTTCAATCGACTTTGTATGAAAAAATCCCAGGTTATTAGTATTTCCAAAGTCAGCCGCTAATTAGAACATGAAGGAAGGGACCATTGAGAAAGTTTTATTCATCCTAGTGCTCATTGTATAACCTTTCTGTATTCATAAAGCCAGGTGCGCCTTACAACTGTTACTGGGGAGGGAGTCTGTGCAAGACCAACAGTGGTTTTTGTCACTCCCTTTGAAAAACACAACTCAAAACATAATGTTCATCTTTATTCGTGGGGCTATGACGTGTTTGGAGAATTTTTGATAACATTGTAGCCTTGGTTAAGCCCTTAAAAGTCTGTCAAACACTCTCCGTCGTAATTTTTCCTCTGGCTGCGCATGCGCACGTGGTATTCGTTTGAGTCTGGTGTCAATAACGATGCTTTACCCTACGAATAGGGTAAAAATACCCTTCTTATGTCGCTCTTGAGGGAAACGCCGACTAGAAAACAGTAAACAATCGCTTCAGTGCCGATTCTTTCGCCTTGAACCTCCGCCCTTGCTTCGCCACATGCAAAGACTCCCATAGCGTGTATTTCACAAAACTTGACGAAATGAAAAGCCCTGAATTTGTTAGTTCTTTTCAATCGGTGGCCGTATGTGAGGGTATATCAAAGAGAGTAGACATCAGAAAAGACTCTGATTTGTATTTGGACCGACTATTCATCCAGGCCTCTGGTCTGGGCCTCATTGAACATGCGTCATTATGTTGGCATTTCCCAGCTCTCCTCAACTCACACCAGAATGTTGAATAGCCTTAATATATCTTTGTTATCTGACACGGAAATTTAATAACACTGTGTGCACGTGCTTTTTGAAGGAGAATTCGTATTGTAAGATTCATTATCTTGGTATCCAATGTTCTTGAGACATGAAGTGGACTGTTAGTTTAGCCCTATTGGGCATGGTCGCGATGTCGGTATTGTTTGAACCATAGCCCAGAGCTCAAAACACGTGCCAGTCAATGTGAACTGCCTTCATTCTCACACCTAAACAGATCTAGTTAGGTATCAACCTCTTACAACCACTATAACACTAGTCGGTGCAACAGGGGGAACAGTTTGAGCGAGGTAGGTCCATTTTTTTCAAAATTACGTCTTTTATTTGTTGGCTTTTCGAAAATGAGATCTATATTTTTTGCCCCTGCACTTGAAAGAATGCAGTATATAACGAGATTAAAAACCACTCTTATTTTATCAATAGAAATACCAACGCTTTACGTCTTGATTTTGATAGGTAAATGAGCTCGTCCTGTAAGCTGCTCTAATATTTTGACACTAAATTGAGATTTGTCTTGTTGCAGATTGTAGGCTGTGTTTGTGAACTCAAGGACAGAAGAGTGTGGATTTTTCAAACATGATGAGCTACGAAGATTCCGTCGTGAACATCTCAACAGCAGTGACTCAAGCTACGAGGTACTGTACCCACACGAACACAGATTTAGTTAAACGAGTTCAGGACGTGGCATATTCCTATAGTGTCGAATCACAGAAGCCCAAGATCAAATCATCGGCTGTCAATTCTGTAACAAGTGTAGACAAGCTCCATAAAGACGGAAGCGAAGTTCATAGAATCCGTCGTCATTGTCAGTCTAATGCAAGGTCGACTCGACAGTTGAGGAGAAATGAAAGAGAACGCGGTCGTAAAGCAAGGTTAAATGCAGCTTTCCAGGTCTTAAAGAGTGTAGTACCAGACAACATTAATGCAGGATCATCAGACCGAAAACTAACTCAAGTTGAGATACTTCGTTTGGCTAAAAACTATATTTCTAAGTTAACTGAGCTTCTGAAACAGGACAATAATTATTCCTTTTCTGTCTTCAACGCAGAGTAACAGAAATATCGCAAATACACGGATTATGGAGTCAAATGGGATCGAGATGGCGTGACCAATGATATATGTGTATATATATTATATTATATATGTCATAAACTATAATATACTTTCTAAGACGTTTGTATATAATTTATAGTCTGCTACAAGAGTAATGATCTCTCCCTTCAAGGCAGGCATGTAACATCGGAACAAATACGTTTTGTTCAAAATTCACTCAGCAATCGCTTCGAGAGTCGGCGAATCCCGAGAGAAGATTCTGAGTACCGATCAAGCCATGAAAGGAATCCAGTCACGTGACGACAAAAACCTTCGTAAAACTCCCACAAGACTGACCAAGGAGGAGTAGTATTCTCCGAGTTTTTTGAAAACTTGCTTTACCAAGATCTTTATGAAGCTTTGTCAGTGATAATGGAGCGACGCCCCCGATTTTGATATGAATGCATGAATAGTACACAAATGACTATAGGACTATCGTTCTTTTTTAAAGACGGTCACATGCCTAGTATAATAGGGTGATGCCCGATTTAATACGCTAAGCCACCGTGAGTGTTGACCGAAGATTGAGACAAAAGAGTCCCAACAGAAAAAAACTTATTGAAGGATCATTAAGCTGTATCACGCTACAGTACAACGCCTACAACTATACGAATCCATAGCAGAACTTATGACCGAGTTGAAAATCAAATTACTCATACAAAAGAAAATCCACGACCTTCTGCATTAGCCAAGACTAAAACACTGGATTTCTTGAGGCAAAAAAGCCGATTTCCAAAAAGCTTGCTTAATATAGACATAACAAAAAGCAAAAATAAACAAAAGATAAATTAAAAGGCTGAAAAGAACGAGTTAATCTGGCCTTGGATCAAATGACTTTTATGTAGTTTTTTGTAATCAATGTTGTAAGATATAGCCGTGCGTAGTCATATTATGAGTCACACAATTTTTTAATACATATTTTTACGATAAAATACTTGTATTGCCCTTATACTTCTTTGACTTTCTTCTTCTCTCGATTCTGACGAGGTAATAGAAGTCTTTGACAGCTCTTTGCTGTATCTTGGTGTGGTTAGCACAAAGGTACACAATGGCGAACGTTGAACAAACCTGACTTAAATGGCCATTGTCAAGGACAAAGATCAACTCTCCTTCGAGGAAGGTAAACTAAACTCAACACACTAAAAGCAGTGCTCAGATACATTATAAGCCGAAAGCATTGTTTGTTTAAGGAAGCTTCAATCATGTACAAAAGATTTTGAGTCGAGAAAGGTTTATTTTTGTTTCTTGTGGGAGGATGTAGCTAGAATTATTTAGGCTTGTCTGGTTCCTCTTTTTCTATCAAGAAACCATCCGAGTGTCTATTTACCTAAAAGCATCATTTCGTAAGCTGATCTGGTATATGAAGATGTACATTTATCTTTTCTGAGTAAAAGTCAATTGTTTGCATTTACATACGCATTACGACGTCTATGCTTTGATCATGAAAGAAAGAAAGAAAAAAACAAAACAAAAAAGCTAGTTTTATATCGTATCGTTGCTACGAAAGTGAAAAAAAATCCGCATACTCAACCTGTCCAACTTTTTGAAATACTTACTGACCATTTTATTCAAAAATAAAGCGAAAGAACTCAAGAAAATGAGAGAGATTTGTGTCCATTTGGCTTTGCTCGGGCTGTGATTGCAAATAAATGTGACAATGGATGTTATCTCGTCTCAGAAACTTTGTTAGCCTTCCTGATTGAACATAGAAATAACGAATTCACACTGCAAACACAAAACACAATCGACAGATAAACTGACCAAAACCTTGTCGAATTTCATAAGGCTTTCATAGTATTACTTTTACATCCTAATATTTAGAACTGGGTCGAGTTTTTAATTAATTAGAAAGGACAACCAGACAACATAATAGAATCTAAAAACCTATTAATAAGTATCGCTTAAGAAATGTGGATTTTGCTGGACTTTGAGCAAGATGTTTACTGGTTTGAAAATTTACTCTGACTAACACGCTCGCCAAAATTACGGTTTTCCTTGTTACACTTTAAAAGCTTTCCCATATTTATTATAGAAATATTACAACTAAACTGACGGCTATAAATAATAAAGAACACTAGTATTATTTAAACAATTGAAGTAAAAACAGCGGAAAATATCTGAAAATATGGCTACAGAAACCCTTACTACTTTCTAGTCCGGATTAGCGATTTAGTGGCAAATATTTTTTCCAGATACCAAACACTCTTTATTCTGGTTATACAAGCCCTTCTCAGTCTTCTAAATAGTACGTTTTGTATGGAACAAAGCCAAAAGTTATCCAACGATTGAATTACACGTGTAATGTTTAGAACCACCAGTAAATAAATACAATCTTGAAGTTTTTTCTCTTGTTAACTTTTCAAAAACTTTTGTGATTTGAAGCGATCTCATTCAAAGTATAATCAAAGCCGCATGAAAGCCTTATTTAATACTAAAAGTTTCGGGTAGTCGTCTGCAGTCTGGCATAATTCTTAGAAGATAATTCGATCAAGTGTCGAAATCACAGAGCTGTCAAGTTAACATTGACCATGAACTCCGTGACAAGGAATGATATCGTTGTATACATTGTTGAAGCAATGCAACTGAAACAAAACTTTTCAATGTTACCACAGTCAAAAGCATTGAAACTCGCCATGTTTCGTGTTTAATTGAATTCTTTGTGGTATTTTTTTTATAGAGTACTTGAAAATCTGGCTAAGAGCATCAGAACTGAGCAGACTCGGAAAATACTCGACAAATGTGAATATTTTGTAATGACATCGTATTGTAGAGTGAAGTGATTTCAGACACTTTTAACCCGTCCCCTTGGCAACCCTAATCTGTTAGATCAAAAACCACAAACTTCATTAATGAGTGATTTAATCGTTAAATGCATTAATCATGAAAACTACCACCTATTGTTCTATCTATGTACATACATATGAAAAGATCGGACTTGCATAACAGATCGCTGAGAGATATGACATTACTGAACATACCAAAAACATCTTCCAAAATGGGGCAACTATCATTTAAGATATGGATATATATGTTTTGTGGACGCGGCATTTTCGTGTTTCTGTGTATATATGTATATATTATACTTAATTTTCTCTTTTCTTATATTTATACTTTTAGGTTCTCAATCGCAGATTTTAGTATAGATTTTATTTAGATTTTATTTAGATTTTTATAGATTTTATATTGCTGATCACCGGTTCATACCAGCTGTTCTATCGTTCGGTTTTATAATTATTATTATTATTATTATTATTATTATTATTATTATTATTATTATTATTATTATACCAAAAAAAATTAAATTTAAAAAAAACCTACTGACGAAGAACTAACTTTCGAATGGGTTTATACTTCGTAATAATCATATTCTGAGAGAAAGAAGTTATTCTATTTATGAGTAATTTATTCGTTAAATTAATTTATGTGTATCACGAAAAAGAAAAACCTAACTGATTATATTTATATCTACTGGAAAAAAACTATTTAAAAACTGGCAAATAACTTCTTGAAAGATTTTAAACCCACAAGGTACTCTTTTATTAAAATAATTTTCTGAACAATTGCGCCTTTTATTTTTGTTAAAAATCATTAATCATGAAAAATACCACCTATTGTTTTATCTATATACCGAACTGATGAAAACTGTTCAAGAACTACCCACGGTTGATAATACTCAGAAAATATAAAGTTTAAGTTGCGAGTGGTTTTTTTATTATCAAGAAATATCGGATGCACACGTACTGTTGTTGTTGCCTTCAAGAAACTATATAAACTAAATTTGGACATTTTGAATGGATGGATGGATGGGTGGGTGGGTGGATGGTTGAATGGATGGATGGATGGATGGAGGGATGGAGGGATGGAGGGTTGGCTGCATTGGGTGGGTGGTATATGATAGTATGGGATAGGATGAGATGGAGATGAGATGGGATGGGTGAATGGGATGGGTAGATAGATCGGCTACTGAATCCGAGACAATTTAGCACACATTCAGCATTATGTAATAACTCAAAATATCAGTCCAGACATTGTTTCAGGTTCCTATCTGTGAGTTACCCATGCAATGACTTAGATCAGCCCAGAGGTTGTTTCAGGGTTTGATCTGTGAGTAAGCCATGCCCTGACTTAGATCAGCCCAGAGGTTGTTTCAGGGTCCTATCTGTGAGTTAGCCGAGCCCTGACTTAGATCAGCCCAGAGGTTGTTTCAGGGTTCCATTTGTGAGTTAGCCATGCCCTGACTTAGATCAGCCCAGAGGTTGTTTCAGGGTTAGATCTGTGAGTTAGCCATGCCCTGACTTAGATCAGCCCAGAGGTTGTTTCAGGGTTAGATCTGTGAGTTAGCCATGCCTTGACTTAGATCAGCCCAGAGGTTGTTTCAGGGTATCGATAGAATTTAATTTTGCTCAAAAATTGCAGTATCACGGAAAGGTGTTGAGGTTTGTAACGGTGTCGCAGGAGCGTTTGCACGTGCGTTGTGGTTCCACGTAGATTTGAAGTACGACTGCAGGTTGATTTCCTTGATCGAACTTTCTTTCCTTTAAGTCCTTAAAGAAGGTACCGGAAATACGAACAATGCCAGTCAGTGTCTGGGCCACCTTTCTTTCATTAAAGACCCTGCGTAAGGGATTCCAATTGCTGGTTACTTCGGATGACTATTGCTTGTTTCTTTTTGCAGTGCGTTTGGGAAACCTTTTGGAATGCTTCAAAGCTCACAAGGCTTTATGGGAGTCTATGTCCATCTTCAGCTTTATAAAGCCTTGTCCACACTAGCGTCGTAAGCATCGTAATCGTAATAGGCCCTTTGCAGCTAAGCTATCACGTGCTGATTAATTCACTGAGAGCAAATGAATGAACATTTTGATTACCATGGGTGAAATATACTGGACTGCAAACAAACTTTCTAAAAAGAATCACCAATTTAATATAAAAACAAAAATTTTGCATTCTAGTGCAGACACGTGACCGTTAACTGCAAAGGGCCTATTGTAGTCGCAATCGTAATCTTA